TACATTGAACCATCCCCTCCTGAAATCTTAACCTTCAAAGCTATAATTTTGTATTAGTCCATCTTTTAATCCCACTACATACTGTGACAATCACCAAGGCATCCCAAACCTTGTTCCAATCTGTTAGAACAAAACATGTTCCCAATCTGCCATCTTCTGTCCTCACCTTCTTCTCTTTTCAGTCTCAGCTCCCTGGTCCTTTAACCCAATCACTCTCATGCATCCTTGTCCAACCTTAGAGGGACCGCCTGTCCTTGCATGTTAGTAACATCACATATCCATGTTCTCTAATCACATCTGGGCCTTCAAAACTTGTCTTTAATCATCTCCTATTCCCATCTCCATCAGGAGCTATTTTAAAATTTATACTGTCTCCTCAAATATATTTTATCATCCTGGGGCACCTGGGTGGCTCGGTGGGTTAAAGCCTCTGCCTTCGGCTCAGGTCATGATTCCAGGGTCCTGGGATCAAGCCCCACATCGGGCTCTCTCCTCAGCAGGGAGCCTGCTTCCTCCTCTCTCTCTCTCTGCTCTCTCTCTGCCTGCCTCTGCCTACTTGTTATCTGTATCTGTGAAATAAATAAATAAAATCTTTAAAATATATATAGTTTTTATCATCCCCTCCTCATTGTTAGCAGAAGACTTTGCCTCCTACTTGAGTGAAAAATTGAAAAAAATATCACCAAGACCACTATTCAGGAACTCCCTCAATTGTATCCCTTATTGACCCACACATTTATTACCATCAACGCCTACCCTTTTTGCTTGTCAGGAGAGGTATCTCTCTTCCTATAGAGAGCAAATTCCTATAGTTTTTAAGAAATTTTTTTAAGGATTTTGTTTATTTATTTGACAGAGAGAGAAATCACAATTAGGCAGAAAGGCAGGCAGAGAGATGGGGGAAGCAGGTTCCCTGCTGAGCAGAGAGCCGGATGCGAAGCTCGATCCCAGGACCCTGAGACCATGACCTGAGCCAAAGGCAGAGGCTTAACCCACTGCGCCACCCAGGCGCTCCTAAATTCCTATAGTTTTAACTCCGATTGCTAGTCTTATTTTGCTACTTCTCTATACTCTCACAGAACCCTGTGTATTCTATCATAGGATTTATCACACTGTACTTATCTTCTCCCCTGCTACATTTAAAAGATCTTCCAGGTTAGGGATGCCTGGGTGGCTCAGTCAGTTAGGCGTCTGCCTTCGGCTCGGGTCATGATCCCAGGGTCTTGGAATTGAGTCCCACATTGGGCTCCTTGTTCAGCAGGGAGCCTGCTTCTCCCTCTGCCTGCTGCTCCCCCTGCTTGTGCTCTCTCTCTCTCTCTCTCTCTCTGACAAATAAATAAAATCTTTAAAAAAATAAAATAAAATAGGGATAGAAGTGTATACTTCATAAGGTTGCCAAGAGGTTTAAATGGGTTAAAACCACATTTTATCAAGTGTGTATTTTGTACTTACAACACATGTCAGTTTGGCCCAGCCATATTTCCATTGTTCACTAGTCACATGAAATTAAAGGCTACCATTCTGGATAGCATAAGTACAGAAACTAGTAGGTGCTCAATAAATATTTTTTTAAAAGTAAGTTCTACACCCAACATGGGGCTTGAACCCACGACCCCAAGATCAAGAGTTGCTACTGAGTTCTACTGACTGAGCCAGCCAGGAGAACCTCAATAAATAATTTTTAAAGAATACTGGTGTCAGAACACAAAGAACGTTCAGAATGCCAGGACCAGAAAAAAAAATACTTTACATAGTCTAACACTTTTTTTTTTTTTACATTTTAACATCTCTGAAAATAATAATCTTATAATTGATGCCATCTGAGAGTTTCAATGACAGTACTATTTTGTAGTGGTTCGTAAGATAAAGATGCATCTTATAACTGATAGTATCTTAGAGTTGATAAAATAACTGTGTATATAAAGCACCTAGTACCTGGCATATAGGCCTCACATAAATTATTTATTATGACTTACTCATATTTCCATTCCCAATACTAAATTCACTGTCAGGCATAGTACATAGTTAATAAATATTCATTAAGTGAACTTCTACAGGATACCCTGTGACCTTTGTACATCTATCCAAATATATTATATGCCTTCCAAAACTACCTTCTTCTCACAAACTTCCTTTTATGGTCAAAGATACCATCGTTCTGGGCCATATTGACTTAAAAACCTCAGATCTTTATCTCTTGACCCTTCCCTTAATCCAGTTTAGGGATCAGATCCTGTCAATTCTTCCTTTATAACTTCCCCCCCAATTTGCCCTGAGAAACTTAAAAATGCTTATTAATCCATTAAAAAATAATAAACCCATTACATGTTAACATGACATATTTGATGAAAAACTGTATTTTCCAAAAAAAATGACTAGAGTAACATAGTTTTACATTTCTAAATTCTATTTAATGTTTCTGACTTAATAGAATACAGCTGGATTCTCTGCTTTAGCACTAAACCTGCTATGTTGTTTTAACTGAAGTACATGAAGACCATCCAGCCTCACACAGATATGTGTAGTTGGAAAAGAAAGCAATATTTTAGTAGCTTTTTCAGAAAACTGTATATTAGTCTTGATAAATGGTAGTCTCTTAAGGATTAGCCACAATGTAGAATCTGAAACCTTACCAATGGACTCTCTTTGTACTATTCCCTTACAGTTCATTGCTATATAAAATTAAAGTCTACTGAAAAAAATGTTAAATACACACATACATACATAAAATTCATTGATATATCTTTCATTGTGAATTGATCTTTTACCCATGCATAATTTTACAACATCATACTTGGTCATCTGGAAAATATTGGTTCATTGAGTTACACCAACCTTCCAAATATTGACACATTTCATTATACAATATCTAAAAATCACATTCATTAATACTGTTACCAATTTCATTTGAAAAGTTTAAGTATTGGGAAGTTGTCGAGTTCACAGTGGTAGATACAAATTTTCCAAACTCCTAATTTTCACTTGAAAGTTCAAATCTTATCACTGGCAACAAATACTGTGAGTTGTTTTCTTTGAAATGACAGGCTGGCTTTTCATTTTTGAAAAAAACATCTGCCAAATACCCATGTCTGGATAATCATAGTTTATATGTCAGTCATTCTTGCAAGTAAAAATGGTATTCCATGAAGAAAGCAGCTAGTTTAGCTCACAACTCAATAACACAAGTGCTTTTCCTGAGGACAACTGCAGTTTAGTATACAGAAGGGATTTATTTGTACTCCCCACTTTATCACACAGAATATTAAAGACATGTCTCAAAGGTTGAAATTTAATAAAATTAATGAATTTTTACTGCTTCATTTGGGACACTGAGAGAAACTAGCTTTTTTTTTTTTTTAAACTATAGTGAAGAATAAAATGACCATTAATACAGTTTGGCCCCACTGCCCTGATTCTTGCTAAGGCACCAGCAGTTTTATTCACCACTACTTTAGCGCTATCAGTGCAAATGTCAACTCAATGAAAATACCAGATAATATCTTGATATTGCTATGAAAATAATTTTGACCTCTCAGAACTCCTGTATCAGGGAGCCGCAAGAGGTCCACAGATCAAATTTGAGAACTGCTAGTCTAGGACTTCATCATGTTATACCTGGATTATCATGTTAGTCTCCTATTTTTCCCAACACTAGCCTCTCTCCTTATTCATATTGTTTGGCATTACTAAACACAACTTCCTTACAATTCCGCTTTCAACATGTTCTGCCCCAAAATTATGTGATTTCCCCCACTGGATAGAGGCTAAAGTTCAAATCAGCTAGCATCACCTTCAAAGACCTCTACAGTCTTTCCTCATCTAACCTTTTCAGCCTTACCTTCCACCACTCCCTGACACAACTATAAGTCAGTCTGATCTATTTAAGGTCTCTGGAAACAAAATTTAGACAGTTCACAACTTTGCTTGAAATATTCCCATTACATAAAATATTATTTCCTTTCATCAAATCTTAAATCCTATTCCACCTCAAGGCCTAGCTCAATGCCCAAATACTTTATGATACTTTTTGTAATCATTGGTTTACAGTGCTCTCTTCCTTCCTGGAAATATCACCACAATTACTATCCTCACATTATCATATACTGTCTTTGATAATTTAACTTCTGAGTTGTTTATTTAATTTTACATGCTTTCCTTAATCTACCAACTGGATTAAAAACCCTGGAATACAGACACTCTGCTAAACTTTTTTTTTTAAAGTAGGCTCCACACCCAGTGTGGAGCCCAACGTGGGGCGTGAACTCACAACCCTGAGATCAAGACCTGAGCTGAGATCAAGTCAGACACTTAACCAACTGTGCTACCCAGGTGCCCCAGTACTTTGAGTCTTCTACAGCACCTAGTACAATTTAATAAACAGAGTGAAAACATCAGTTTTTAAAAATGAAATCAATGAATGAATTCCCTTTCCAAAGGCAAGAGGAATTTGGTTAGATGAATGATTCACATGGTCTATGAACTACTGATGGTCCTTGAACATCTTCCAGGTGGACAATAGATTGATTTCTTAGAGTTATTAATGTTTTCAATGGGAATAATTATGCTATTTAATCAAAATCAGCCCATTGGCATCTCATCAAAAGCAATCCTCTTTCTCATTAATTCTGATGAGGTTTTTGTAGTGTTAATCAAGAAAATGTAGAATAAGTGACCCATAGGACCTGTTGAAGTGGTTTTAGAGACAAAAGATGGCAATCATTGCTCTAAATTAGCAGAGACTCCAATGTGGAGTCAATTCTATCCATAACATTTTTATTTCCTTAAAAGAAGATATAAATAAATATGATAAAAACATTATATTTGTTAATATGAGAGGTGCAAGGGTGCTTGTTATGTTATGCTTTCTCCTTTTCTATATGTTTGATGTATTTTAAAATAAGGAAAAATGCATTGTGTGGCTCTTTGAAGTATACATGGTACATCAACATACAAGAACATGTCATTTGACTGATACATGATGTTGTCCAGTTTTTACTTACCAGTGCATCATCTTGCAATGAAGCAAAAAAGAAGCCATAGAGCAAGTTAATTTGATCCTTGTGATCAATGAAGTCAAACATTGCAACCAGCCAACGATAAAAAAGTACCTATTGAGAGACAAAATGCTTATCTTTAGAGAAATATACCTGGCACAGGAGAGAGCTTAATTCCCCACTCAGGGCTCTTTTAGAAGCTTCTAGCACAAAGTAGGATAATAGGTTTTATTTCTCAGTAAAAATTTCTGCTTGAGCAAAGTCCCTGCATCAAGCTATATTGTTCCAAAACTACAGCCTTTGCACAAAAGGCCACTGCCATTACTCCCTAAGTGGCTTTTCCTTGCCAGCCCTTAAGTGGTTCTGAAGGGCTTATCATCAAACTGTTTAAAAAGATTACCTTGGTGCTACCAGAACACTTGCCCACACAAAGCCAGGAGACCGCCTTAACCACAGAATCTTCTGATATTAGAGTTGTTGGAATCATACACTTCAATATCCGAGTGTTTACAGCACTCCCTAGAAAGCAAACTCCAAATTAAACTACATTTTAGAAACTTGATTGTTCCTTTACTATTATTCACTTAGTCCTAAAATCTCACTATACTAAAGGCAATAAAAAAGTAGTATTTGATATCTCTTATCATCTTTACAAAACAGTTTTAAACAAAAATGTATCTTTAAGTTCTAATATAACAATAAAGCAAATTCTTAGGCTCTGTATTTCTATTTAAGAAGGAAGGATGCCTACAAGGTTTCTTTTTGGCATGATGAATATGTTTGGGAATTAGAGAGTGGTGATGGTTGTACAACTCTGCGAATAAGCTAAAAAATATCCTAAATTGCATGCTTTAAAAGAGTGAATTCAGGGGTGCCTGGGTGGCTCAGTGGGTTAAGCCTCTGCCTTCGGCTCAGGTCATGATCCCAGAGTCCTGGGATCGAGCCCCACATCGGGCTCTCTGCTCAGCAGGGAGCCTGCTTCCTCCTCCTCCTCTCTCTCCGCCTGCCTCTCTGCCTACTTGTGATCTCTGTCTGTCAAATAAATAAATAAAATCTTAAAAAAAAAAGTCTTAAGAAAATTTCAAGGTTTTTTTAAAAGATTTATTTATTTATTTCAGAGAGAGAGCATGTGTGTGCCAGAGCAGGGGAAGGGCAGAGGGAGAGGGGGAGAAATCCTCAAATTGACTCCCTACTGACAGCAGAGGCTGACAGGGGGCTCAATCCCAAGACCCTGAGATAATGACCTAAGCCAAAACCAAGAGTGAGACGCTTAGCCAACTGAGCCACCCAGGAACCCCAAGATTATGTCTTATTTTGTTATTATTTTTTAATGGCACAATAGATTCTGACTTATTTAAAACTGTTGACAGACATCTTGCATGAGCTGGTTCATTTAAGAATAAACTAAATAAATATATTTGTATTCTCCATCCCTCCCAAAAAGTGGGGAGGATAGCAGAATGGAATAGCTATTCTTGGAATTAGCTAGCAGTAGTAATATTTTATACTGGTCCAATCTTTCCATCATACTCTCTGGGCTTCCATGGAATTCTCCCATCTGGTAATAGAAGTGATGTTGCAAATAACTTTTTATACACCCTGTATCAATTTCTGCTTATTAAGTCTTCAAGAATTAAATGTATATCTCATCATTATTTTTGGTATGTAAGCATTGTTTCATTTACATTATAATGTGGTAATCACAACCACTCACTGAAAAAACATTGTCTCAACTTCTCATGCAAATAGAATTCTCAAAAACATCTTGGATCCATGCATCTTTAACCACTGTTTAACATGCATTACAGTGTGCTGATCACATCTATTCGCTATAATAATACTGTTCTCAACTTCTGCAAGTAGCATTCTTAGAAATATATGTGTCTTTAAACACTGTTTTATATGTATTATAGCATGACGATCACATCCACTCACTGAATAGCACTGATCTTAACTTTGCCTACAAGTAGCATTCTCAGAAACATCTTATACACATCTTTTTCCCCCTGAGGGTAAAGACTTCTCTTTATTTTTTTATTTTTGAAATAAAAAGTGTGTAGGCAAGCCTGGGTGGCTCAGTAGGTTAAGCGTTTGCCTTTGGATCAGGTCAGGATCCCAGGGTCCTTGAATCAAATTCTGCATCGCATCGGGCTTCCCGCTCAGCAGGGAGCCTGCTTCTCCCTCTGCCGGCTGCTCCCACTGCTTGTGCATGCTCGCACTCTCTCTCTCCAACAAATAAAATCTTTAAAAAGAAAAATGAATAGACTTTGCCAAACGTAAAACAAACAAAAAAAACCCTACCTAAAATCAAGAAGAAAAGAACTCTAGCTACACATCTTGACAAGCTGTGTGATCTTAGACAAGGTTCTTCAGCCATCTGAGCCTTGGCTTTTCTGTAAGTAAAATGGGGATAAAGTATCTACCTCCTAGGGTTGTGAAATGGTAAATGTCCATCACTCAGCCTATGACTATGAGATAGTAATTTCCCAAGGAACTGTAGCTACTGTTAATATCCAGTCAAGGATAAGTAGGATGTTCCAGATTTCCTAGCTCAATGCTATATATTATAGACTCAATAAATGCTATTAAATTTTAAAAATTTTTTAAAATAAAATAAAAAATAAAATTTATATTTCAGATGTACGTGATGATATGATATACATATTACATAGTGGAAACGATTATTACAGCCACACTAATTTACATATTATCTCCTCACGTTGTTACCATTTTTTGTGCGGTGAGGGCACCTGAAATCTACTCTTACCAAATTTCCAGTATTCAATACAGTATTATTAACTATAATCATCATGCTGTACATTAGATCTCTAAATTTGTTCATGATACATACATTCTCAGTTTCTACCCCATCATTCTGCAGAGAAGGAAGAAAGCAGTAATGGCAGGTAATGAATCATAAGAATAAAAATTTCTGTATTCCACTATGGTTTCTTGTTTTCATTTTCTTTTTTCCCCCACTCCCATCCCCTAACCCTTCTAAAGCTTAAAACAGTCTGACCACTAACACTTCACACGTGTACCAAATTCAAGGGGTGAATTCAATACAGACTCAATACTTAACTTCCCAGTGACTTTTTAACTTCTAAAGTGTCTGAAGTCCTTTTGTACTTAATATGACATTTCAAACACACCTGCCCCTGAATATGAATTTAAACTTAGCAAAGGATCTACAGGTAAAGATACAGTGGTGATGGAAGATATCACAGAAATAACTTACAGGAGATAAACAATTAAGGGAGCCCTATCTGACATCATCAATTCCAGCTTAAGGGAAAAAAGAAAAGTAAGAATAAAAAGCCAGAGATTATGTTTAAAATTGTCATATATAAGCTTCCAAAGCTGAGGCATGCATTTGCCACAAGACCTGGTAAACATCATGAAAACCTTTTAACCATTCATTTCTGAGATATCAAAAAAGAGAAATTCCAATATAGAAAACACTTGTATATCCCATACATGTTTTAAGAGAAGGGAGAAAATTCTCAATAGACACTCATCAGCTAAACATGGGTTCCTGGGAAGATAACAGAACCAAACAATCTAAAACCACTTATAAGAGCCAATTCAAATTTCACTTTGTAGGAAAACACAGAGAACTAATCTAGTAAAAGTAGAGAACTAAAATACCTGAGAGTCATATTTTGAATTCGGCTAGTAATGTGTTATTGCTTTAAAACACACACCCCTGCAAAACATGATGTTAGGGTATACACAAAGGAACCCAATATGCAAGACCTAGGAAAGAGTATATAAATCATCCAGTTTTGATAGATGTCTTAATATTTCAAAAAAAAAAAAAAAACCAGGAGAAAACCCAGTAGCAGTATGATGCGGTATAAACACTAGAAGGGGAGTTAGGAGATCTGAGCTCCTCAGTTCTAGCTCTGACGTTAAACAAGTCTCTTTAACAACCCTGGGTCTCTGTTTCCTCGCCTTTAAAATGAGGATAGATGTTCAAGGCCTAAAATACCTTCTGAGTCTGAAAAAATAAATAATAATACTGGCCAGGTGTTCTTTCTTTCTAAGGACCTCTCCCTCTCCATTAAGTCCTCCCCAAGGCACTTAGAACAGGAAAGGAAGCATTTCCACAAAAGAAAAAGCATCTTTACTGTTAAGGTCAAACACAATGGAATGGAGACAGTTTCAAAAGGGACTTGCCATAGTAAGTGATCCTAAAAGCAATGAAAGAGACTAAGTGATCTCTTAAGCTGTCTTATCTATGCTTCTTAAGAGAAATACTAAAAATGACTCCCATGTATTTTGTGACAAGAGTCTATACATTCTATTTGTAAAGACATGTAATAACTAACCATTCTCAGTATATGTACACAGAAACTTCTGGTTCATAAGATAACTTAAACACAAAAAAAGGCCCACTTTATGATCTTACCAGATTGGTTATATGAAGAAAATAATACAAATAAAGTACTGCAACTGATTCCAATAATCTATTTCAAAGTCTGGAAGGCAAAATTAATAGCAAACTGATGACAAATGTATCCCCTTATCATACCAAATTTGCCATTGAGTGCCACATTTAATAGAACATCAATTTCTTCTGGAGCTAACCCATTCTTCCACGCCACATTTTCCACAGTTTTCAAGTGCTTTTCCAAGATTTTATCTTTACTCTGTGAAGTTTTAGCGGAATCTGGAAAAAGGAACAATATTAAATAGTGGGACCTTTAAAATATTTTCAGTCCTCAACACCAACAGTTACAACTTAGGATACTTAAAAGAAATAGCTCTTTTTTTTTAAGTAGGCTCTATACCCACCATGGAACCCAATATAGGGCTTGAACTCACAACCCTGAGATCAAGACCTGTGTTAAGATTGAGAGCCAGACACTTAACCAACTGAGTCATCCAGGTGTTCCTAAACAAATAGATGTATGTTAAAAATGCCTTCCCCAAAACCTTTCAAAGCCTTTAAAATTCTAGAATATTTAACAGCAATAGAGGAACAGCACCTTCAGTAAGGAAAACTGAACCATGCCCTGGCATGTCTGCTCTAAACTAACTAAAAGTACTGAACTTAGACTATAAGCAGATTCAATACTAGGACCGTAGTTCCCAAACTTTGCTGCAAATTGGAATCACCCAGGGAGCCTTTTAAAAATCCTGACTGCATTCTATGCCAATAAAAACAGAATGTCTTACAGTGGATGCCAGGCGTCAGTGTTTTTTAAAGATTCCGAGATAAGGGGTTCCTGGGGGGCTCAGTGGGTTACAGCCTCTGTTTTCAGTTCAGGTCATAATCCCAGGGTCCTGGAATGGAGCCCCGCATCGGGCTCTCTGCTCAGCAGGGAGCCTGCTCCCCCCCCACCTTCTCTCTCTCCCTCTCTCTCTCTCTGCCTGCCTACTTGTGATGTCTGTCAAATAAATAAATAAAATCTTTTAAAAAAAAAAAAGATTCCGAGATAATCCCAATGTGCAACAGCTTGGAAACTACCTTGCCAAGAATTTTCTTTGTTGTTGTATCCCCAGTACCCAGCATACTGATATTAGGAAGCACTTAATAAATGCCTATTAAATAAAGAAAAGCATGAATTGAGCAAAAATACGCTTTCCTTTAAAAATCCATAAGAAAAAGTCTAGGACATTTTTACAGCAATAGAACTTTCATAAGGAAAATTATCTGTCTTACCCTTCTCAAAGTATCTCACTGCTATTTGCAGAGCATCTTCTCCTTGATCATCAGCATGTCCATAATCCTCTGGTGGACTGTCTTGTTCATCATTCAAGTTGCGCTTTGAGTCATCCAGGTCTTCTTTTTCTTCCCCCGCCAGATTAGTCTGATAACTATCACTAACTTGCGAAGTCCTCTTTTGAGCCTGAGAGTCCTTAACTCTCTTTTGAGATGACATTATTGCACATGCTCTATACAGAAACAAGTGTCAAGTTACCATTAAATAAACCATCCCTTTTTACTCCACAAAGACAGGAAGCATATCTGCTTTGTGTTCCCAACATTTAGTACACAATACCTAGGATACAAATAATACAGACACACAAAAACACAAAAACTCTAACAACCATCCAGGCAACAAAAAGGCTAACTTTCACAGATGCCCTTGACCTAAACAGGAATAGGGAGAAACAACTCTATTACCCTGGAGAGTAATATTCACCAGTTGAACAGGACTTCTTGTGGAAAAAAATCAAGCACAAGCAACATAGCAAGTTCTCTTAAAATGGCTCCACCACAAAATCAAGTCCAAAACTAATCCATCTCATACATTCAATCTTACTTTTTCCACTCACTCCTATTTTTCTCCACCCCCCCCTTGATTTTGTTTTTAATCTTTTACACTCTCCACTTCATGAGTGCTAAGTTAAAAAAGCTTAGTTCAAAAGTGAAACTGGTGACCAAACCAAGGACTCCCACAACAGAATCATTCCCCATTAATTAAGTCATTTATCCAGTAAATAATTATTGAACATCATCAAAAACAAAGCACAGTTTTAGTTACTAGGGATAAAATAAAACATTCAAGGTCTCGGATCTCCTGAAACTTATGGGGGTAGGGTGGGAGGAGTGTGAGAGAGGGGAGTGACACCATCTGATTTAAGACTTTCTAGCTGCAGTGTGGAGAACAGAATGTTGGGAGTCAAGGAGTGAAAACAGACGAAATTTTATTTTTTTACTTTTTTAAAAAGGTTTTACTTACTTATTTGACAGAGACAGAGAGTACAAGAGAAGGAATACAAGCAGGGGGAGTGGGAAAGGAAGAAGCAGGCTCCCAGCTGAGCAGGGAGCCCCATGCAGGGCTCAATCCCAGGACTCTGGGATCATGACCTGAGCTGAAGGCAGATGGTTAACCCACTGAGCCACCCAGGTGCCCTGAAGGCTTTTTAAAAAATTCATCTGGGGGCGTCTGGGTGACTCGGTCGATTAAGCGGCTGCCTGTATTCCGTCTCTCGCTGTCTCTCTCTGTCATATAAATAAATAAAATCTTTTTTAAAAAATAATTAGTTAAAATTTAAAAGCCTTCACTAGTCCAGAAGAAATATGACTGTAGTCTGAACTAGGCCTAAGATAGCGGTGGACAACATAAAAAATGACTGATACGTTTTGGAGATATACTGGGCAAGGCCGTGATAAAAGAACAGGATGTACGGAAAAGGAAAGAGAAGAACCCAGAAAGACTTAAGTTTTGGCTTCAAATGGGAAAAACTAAGGAAATCGTTGGAATGACAGTTACTCAATCACACCTCCCTAGAACATGAGGCCAGAGCTTGAGAGCGGTATGTGTATCTAACCCAATGGGGGGTTCCGAGTTCCAAGTAGTTTCCTGGGGGGTCCAAAAAAAGAAGGACGGGAGAGGAGCTTCTCACCCCATCCAGCTGAACTGTCCCATCGCCTCCCAGAAACCCAGCCCCTCACAGACCGCCACTGCAGAGAGCAAACTCAGCCAGGACGACCGACCCACTGGACAGTTATCTGAGCTGGGGAAAAAGCCCGATCCCTGCCACATCTTGCGGAAGAGTTGCTCAGAAATCAGGAGAGTCCCTCTGCTCTGAGAGTCCCCACTTTGCGCGGTCTTTAAAAGTAAAAGTACCTCACCTAACACACTCCTCAGTCGCAAAGCCTCAGGAATCCGAACGCCGCCTCTCGGATTCAAAAGAGCGGGCCCCGCCCCGCGCATGCGCTTCTTCAGAGACCCAGGCTGCCCTAGGCAGAGCGGCGCGCTCTGCTGAAGCCTGATTGGTTGGGTTACAACTCAACGGCGCGAGGAGGCGCGCGGGCGCCGACGCTGACGCAGATCCAATCCCGAGAATCTCTTGCCCCGCCCGCCCCGGGTAGGGGACCCGCAGCTTGTAGACCGTTGCTGCTGGAGCTAGCTGATTGGCTGGCGTTTCCACGGTCCTAATAATGTTCGCATTCGTCATTTCGCGTAATTTGCTGCAATTAGTGTCTTTATTCCTGAATTTAACAAGAGTAATTACAGTGATAATTTTGCTCAGATTGACCCTCAAGTATCGGAACTTTATAGGAAAATATGAAACTGCAAACTTCGCAATAAGGGCTGCTTATCTCTTGCTGAACAAGAGACTTAGGTTATTGAGTCTATGACTTCTGAAGCCGTCGCTTTTCCCAGGCAAAGTTCCGGGGTGGGAGGAAAGGACGGCTGGATCTGCCCTCTTTTCACCGAGGGCGGACATACATATCTTCCAGGATTTGCCAAAAACCTGCGTCTTAAGTTAGATGTGGCACCTTTCATGTAACCTACCAGGCAACACATACAGATTTCTAACTTTGAGGAATCAATGAGTCTTAAAGAAACTGGCGGAAATAGCAACAAGGGTTTAGTTTGAGACCTGAGCCTAGTCCCTACTTTAATCTCTTACTAGGTAGGAATTAAAGAGGAAAGGTAAATTAAATGGCTCTCACTGATTTTTTGAGGCCAAAACATACCCATGAGCTGAGCAAAACTGTAGAAGGAAACTGCAATCAGGGAGAAATGAAGAATCAAAGATTAAGTTGTTATATTTGGGAAAGACTACACCAGAAATTACTATTTACCACATCTTATATGATTTTCAGAGTACTTTAATGAACTCTTGTTTAATCAAGCATAAGAAGTGAGTGTTTGATATTTTATCTAGTACATAAACTGCTCTTATCTAGGAAAACTGAAAATTTCTCAAGAGTCATTTTTCATACTCTTTAATGATTTCATAGATTTAACTGTGTATTAGAAGGGATTTTAAGCCTTCAATCCCCTTCTCTTTTGTAGATGATGAAACTGGGGCTCTGAGTGGTGAAATAACTTGCTTAACATGACAAGTCTGTGGCACTGGAACATGTGCCAGTTTGTGGATACACATAGTGAGAGAGCACTGGTTCGCCTTTGTTTCCTAGACCTGCAATTTTCTCTGAACTCATTCTTCCACCTTCCCTTGGCATCACCTAGTGAAGCAGAACTCCCTAAACCTGAAAATTGTATTGATCCTAATGCTCTGGCTTTCTGTCTTTATATGCTGACATTACCGAAGTGTGGGAGAACTTAAATGAGATTGGAAAGTTGGTAACCTCGTTAGTATACTATGTGATACACAATTCCTTCTCTTTCACTTTCTCATCCAGAATCAAAAATAAAGGCATGAATTGCTTCATACGAACTTTTCTTCCCAGATTTTCATTACCTGTCCAGACAGTTTCCTCCAAATTTCAAAAATGTTTATTTTGAAAGAATGAGAGAAATAAGACAGAGGTATCAATTAACAAGAACAATGGCACTGAAGAAAATACAATAATTTTGTACTCCCCCCACACACAATGCCCCACCCCTCTCCCCATCCCTGGCACAATAGTAAAACCATCAAAGCACATCAAACAAGGAGAAACAGCAGTACTGAATGAAGAAAGCAAAGTTTCATACTGCTCAATCCAACCAATCCATATCAAATATCCTTCCCCCAACTAGACTCCAGCCACTGTAATGATAAAGAGGTGTAGAGGAGACAACCACAGGAGTAACTGCGATCTCGGTTTACACTAGCAAAGTTCAGTGAAGATTCAATAGGAGTAATGAATCTGTTTGGCAGGGAAACACTGGATACAACTCCTCTGTCAAGTTTCAGATGATTTAAGAGAACAACTAGAGTTTGAGATTCACAGATTTCTAATGGAACTAATCCCTGCTCCCTCAACCGTAATGGAGCAGCTGCCAAATCCTGGTTAGTTGCTGAGAATAGTAGGAAGTGAGGCAACTTTTGGCTTAAGAAAATCCAAAAAAGATGTCTGGTAAAAGTTTACTGCTTCAATTTCAAACTGTGAGCAAAGGTGCTTAGTAGGTTGAGTTGCGGCAAAGGCAAGGTGAAACTTCCAATTTTATCACTTGAATTAGATTATGTATTGACTGCATATATCCCTTATTTTAATTAAGCTCAATATGGAGTATTTAAAATTTCAACAACTGTTACAGTGGAGGCTAACCAGTATAACTCAGTGTCTCGAATTGAAGCAACTGTCTCCTAAAGTGGTAAATTAAAGTTTTCAGCTCAATTTCCCTCATCCCACAGGAATACATCACTTGATTTATACCAGAAGTAAGTAGGATTCTCTTTAGAAGAGGTTTATTTTATTCTGCCCTCACTAGAATCAGTTTGTAAAGGGAAGGATACCTGTGCAGGATTAGTTCAAGATCAGAGCCTTATCCTCACACCTGCGTGCACAAGTGTGCACGCGTGTATGCGCACACACACACACACACACACACGCACAGACAGTAAATACATTTTCCCACACATAATCTTATAGTCACATGCTTGCTGGAGTCCATCTCACAAATACACTTCAACAGTTAGCCATATACATGTACATGCAGCAAGATGTGAGTTGCCCCAAAGTGATTAAAGGTGGTGCACATATGTCTATGTGGGGAGGTCATTTTAGGGTATAGGTGTACACAAGCCAATAAGACCATTAACTTGCAGATTACATTTTCCCCTTTCCCTCAAGATAAATAAATCAAATGAAAAACACACACTGACATCTTCCTGGGTGTCATGGAGGCAACTGCCTGGAAGGTCCACTTTTTGCACTTCAGCTTTCCTATGACAACTTCATTTTGCCCTGAGGGGCCTTCTCGTATAAGGAGGGCTGCTCCTCGGCATTCCCGGCATTCCCCGCTTGCCCCGGCAGTGGCAAGGGCTTCTTCTCAGAAGACCGGTCTTCAGGCTTGCGGGCAATCAGCAGGCGGCAGGTGAGCAGGATTCCAAACACCAGAGCATGGGCGTAGCGTTTGAGAGGATCACCGACTAGCTGATGGAAGAAGAGCACAGCCAACACCAGCAAGAGTAGGAAGAAGTTGGCCACATCTTTGGGACGCCCAGGCACAAGGGTCATGACAATGCCACAGGCCACCTCAAGAGCACCAATGCTTTTGCGGAGGAGAATGGAATTGATCCCCATTTTCTTCAGCAGAGGGAGGGCTCGGACATAGCTCTTGTAAGCACGTTTCTAGAGTGAAATACCACAAGGAATGCCACATTAACGTTGATTTTAACGTTAGAATGAAGAACACACAAGCAAGGGCTTCCTTCTGTCCCCACCAGGTTCCCCTCCCCCTTTTTTTTTTACTGTGGCTCCTAAATAAAAGCCTTGTAATGAAGATAAGAAAAAAACAAGCGATCTTCTGAGATCCCTGTGATTTAAACCTTAGTAACAGCAGGGCACCTGGGTGGCTCAGTTAGTTCAGGGTCCAACACTTGATTTCAGCTCAGGTTATGATCTCAGGGCCATGGGACTGGGCTCTGCCCTCAGCATAGAGTCTGCATGTCCCTCTCCCTCTGCTCCTCCCCCCCACTCGCACTCGCTTTCTCTCTCTAAAATAAATTTTAAAATAAATAAATAAATAAAACTTAGTAACAACACCAAAGAGAATTTGGCTTTATAGTTAAAAATTATTTTCAGATTATAAATCATAAACAACACTAAAAGCATTTATAAGAAAATTTATTGGGCCCATAAAATCTGTTACAGATTAGCCACATTCACATTTTCTAGTGCCTGCCTCGTTCAAACCCAGATGCATACGAACACCAACAAAAATGAAACAAGGCAAGGCACAGTATGATAAAGCCTCACTAATTTGGACTTCCCAAATTTGGAATCTGTGATAATTCGAAAAAAGCTGGGCAGGAGTTTACACTTGCAGAATCTGCAAAAAATAAAAAGTGAGTACTAGATAAATAGAAAAATTAAAATGTGTGCAAATGTTAGCCCCTTATATATCTTTAAAATATAGTAAGATAAAAACTAGTCTCATGGTCAGTGAGATAAAAGTCCCAGGCCTTTACAAGATGCTACTTTGTTAGCCTGGTGCAAGTTCATTAATTTTAATCTAACAAATATGTATTGAACACCTACTATGGATTATGCGATGGAGATAAAAAGGTAAATAAGCCAGGGTCAAGAAACTCTTGGTCTGGTGCGGGGAAATGGATACACAAAATGCCAGTATAAAGCAATATGGTTAAGGACACATAATAGACATCTGTATGAGGTCTAATTGTAGCCCAAAGGAAGACATCATACAACAGAGGAGGGAGTCACGGGATATATTACAAATCAATAAGATTATATTGACCTTAGGGTAATAGATAATCATATTTTTCACTGTATTCAGATGGGCCTGATCTTCATTTTGTAGTAAATCGATGAGATTTTATCAAGTGTCTTATTAGGTTGGCCCACTGCTTTGTTTTCAGTAAGTATCCATTAACCCATTCAATATTTATTAAGTGTTTCCTTGCACTAGGCACTGTCTAGGTACTTTGGATACAGATATCAATCATTCAAAGGCTCTTCTTTCCTGAAGCTTGAGTTTATATGAAGAGAAGTTATGGATGCCAAACAAAATTATGCAGTAGAAACAGTGGAGGCATACCAGAGTGGTCAAGTCTCCCTAGATGGAAACAGAGAAAAGCTAGAGTGTAATATTAAAGGAAGAGCAGGTGTTGGCAAATCAATAAGCAAAGGGCATTGCAGGCAGAAGAAACTGGATGAGCAAAGGCCCTGAACACCAAACAGACTTGTGTGTTTCAAACACTGCCCCAGTTCAGCATAGGTTGGGAGAGGGAGGGGTGAGAGTGAGACATGAAACAGGGGAGATAGATATGAATCAT